TGGTTCTTTGCTGATGGGTTTTACCTAGAATCTGCTTGCTTTTCCTAAGAGCGAGGGACCTGATTGATGTTTTACTATTTTGCTGTGAAAATGAAGGGTGTCTACATGGGCCTATCTTGAATGATATTTCGGTTCCTCTATGTTTTGTGGTATGGCAATGGTGATTCATACAGAAATTCATTCTATTTTGACGACCTGCTATGCCTAAGGAAAACCCAACAAAGTTGCAACAAACCTTCGACTGGTGGCTCGGCTATATGAAAATTTTTGGAAAGCCATGTTCTTGACCCCTCTCTACCTTAGATCTCCTTTGTTGCATGTTTAACCATGGGTTCATGATGGTTTTATGGAGTCTAATGAGTGTTGGGTTCTTGTTTATTTGATGGGATTGTTATCTTGCCTATGTAGGCTGCATCTTCCCTAGTTTGAGCAAGGTTGCGTTCTAAACGAATGAAACTTTGTTTTGTTGTAAAAGGAAAGCAAGATATGTGAATAACTTAACTAGAGCTGATTTTCCTTTAAATTGCGCATGGATGCTGTCCTTGTTGTTTCCCATTCCTTTCTTCCCATTTTATTTTGTTCAAAAGTTTGCTTCTTTATCCGTGAGTTGGAGGGCCAAGCTGATGCTGGGTAATCTTGTTTGAAGGTTGTACAACCTTATATGCTTGAACCGAAACTTGGAAACAAAGTCTTGTGTGTGAATAGATTTTTGGATGGTGATGATACAGTTGCAGAAAGTTTATTTCCAGTTTTGCATGTTCTTTCTTTCTGAATTTTTGTGTTTAAGTCTAAGAATTTTATGTTGAAGAGTGAAGAATATTTGATGATCTTGTTGCTTTGGATCAATTTGGGTTTGGTTGAGATGTTAGTTGTCCATTTGGGACTGTGTTTGAGAACCACATTGGAGAACTTCGAATTGCAGAAGCATTGTTGCTGAAGAAGAAGGCTTTTCGTAGCTTCGCATGGAATGCTTTTCAAAAATTTGTCTTTTGACCCCTGGATTTTGGTTTAATGCTACCATGGCCTAAAATTTGGAAAAGTGAATCATTTATGTCCCTTTAACATGATATTTTTCTTTGGTATGCCTTAATATGCTTTTTGGACAGATTATATGTGAGTTTTAGGAAGAAATTTGAAGTCTAATAATTTTTTATAGATTTATAATTTTTGATTTGGATTTTTACAAAAGATTTAGGTAATTCTTTTTGTTATTTAATTTTAGCAAATGGAACAAGTGAGTTTTGATTCATTTTTGTGAAGTTTAGCATTTGGTTTTGGTAGGCTTTATCTTAAGCCCTTAGCTTTATTTTAGACCCTTAATATTTGTAATGGTAATGATTTGACCCCTCGAGCTTCTTTAATTCTTTCAATTGGGTCCTCACTTGTTTAAATTTGTTGAATAGGGGTCGTTTACTTTCAGTTGAGTGATTTGTTTGATTCAATTCCGTGTTTATCTCCATTTCTTGTGATTATTTGTTAATTAAAGTGGTGCCTTGACCCCTTTTTATTGTTTTGGAGGGTAAATAAGAAAATTGTATTTCATTAGATAACCAATTCAAGAGAGGTACACTCTTCTCCTTTATTTTATTTTATTTGATCCTATGTGCTCCTATGTGATTTTGTGTGTGTAATTGCATGATTTTTGAATGTTTTATTTTATTTTCATTTATATATTTATTTAGTCACTTTATTTGTTTTAATTTTGCATATTTATCTTAATTTAATTTTTGATTATTTGAAAGGCATTTAAATGCCAAAATTATAATAGTTAGGTATTTATTTATTTATTTTATTTCCCCTTTAGATTGTATTTAGGGCCCCCCAATGTAATAGTTAGGGCTTTATTTGCTTTATGTGTTTTGCATGCTTATGTGTTTACGTGTTACTCGCTTTCTTAGGGTTTTGCATCTAGATATCATGCTTATGTGTTATGTGATATATGTGATTTTTTTTTTTTTTTTCACTTTTAAATGACTTTTTTTTTTTTAAACAAAACCTTTATTAATGGTAAGAAAATTACAATGGAGAGGAGCTAAAACGCCCTGTCATGAAAAACAGTCCTACATAGTAACTAAGGCTTCCATTGCCGGCGAATGTAAGGATAGCTAACTCTGTCTAACTGAAGAAGCCCACGAATGTCCCTTGGAAAAGAGGTAGCACAGTAGGATGAGGACGCACGAGACGTGCTGGCTAATTTGGCAAGCGAGTCCGCCACAGCATTGAGCTCTCTGTAGCAATGATGCAAGACCGAGGTGAAGTCCTCAAGTAGATGTCGAATGTGGCAAACCACCCCCCAAATCCTCCACGGACACTTCATCTCACGTCGTACTACCTTGAGGAGAGTCAGCGAGTCAATTTCAATCTCAACGTGGGGGAAGCCATGAGATTTGCAAAGCTGTAACCCTTCGAGGAGAGCCATTGCTTCAGCACTCATATTGGTCTGCCAACCATAGAAAGTGGAAAAACCATAGAGTAGCCTCCCCTCGCTATCCCGGATGAGGCCTCCTCCCCCCGCATCTCCCGGGTTCCCAAGAGAAGAACCATCAACATTTAACTTCACGTAGCCCATGGGAGGGACCATCCAACGGATTATACGGAGCCGAGCCCTGGGTGGCTGCTTAAGGAAAGGTACAAGGCCTTGAGTCCAGCAGCGTTTATCTTCAGGAGTAGAACATGTGAAAGGAGTGGCCCTTGCTATGAGCTGGAGCTCCTTAACAATGTGATTGAATATGACATGCACTGGAGTAACAACCCCCTCAAAGTAAGCCAGATTGCGAAATTTCCACAGTGCCCAACAGATGAGTGCCGGTAATAAACGATAGCAATTCGCGACAAAGCCATTGCCAGATGAGTGCATCCACCAGTTCTGAAGTTGCATAAGAATCTCGTCCGCTCTATCCGTTCGAAAGTGCAGCAGGAGCCCCAGGCGATGCCAAACAGCAGTTGCGACTTCACAAGTGAGAAATACATGCTCCAGTGTTTCCACATGATTGCAGAAAACACACTTAGAGGGTAGGTGAAAGCCAAATTTACTGAGAATATCCGGGAGGGGAAGAAGCGCGTTCAGCAAACGCCACATGAATATCGAGATCTTGCGAGGCAGGCGTTGATCCCAAATGAGTGTACGGGAGAGTAAAGAGGCCCCCTGATGGCGCCTTCTCAACACAGCAGATTTGATAGAGAACTCGCCATTCGGGTTAGGCTGCCAAATAAGGAAATCCTTTTCATTAGAGAGAAAAGGAGGGAAGGACCGAATCTGCTGAATCTCCACGCTGGATAAAGCACCTTCAATAGGCGCCAAGTCCTAACCCCCTTCGCTGATACACTCTCGGATCGTGAGGGAAGGACTGGGAAGGTTAACCTTTCCGACAGCCAAAGCCCCTGAGCCGAGCCAATTGTCGAACCAGAAAGAACAGGTCCCCCCAGCAATCATCCATTGAGAGTTCTCCTCCACAAAGGCCCGGCAGCGCAACATACGCTTCCAGGTGGCCGACCCATTGGTGGTCTCCTGAATCTGCGTGATGTGCCCCTCTCTCTTCCCATATTTCGCTAGCAGAAAACGAGACCAAAGAGTGGAAGATGTACGAAATCTCCACCAGAGTTTGCAAGCAAAACCCGCTGCAATTTCTTCCAGTGACTGAAAACCTAGACCATCCTCCTCAACTGGCTTGCACAGATCCCTCCATCGACGCCAATGTCGCTTCTCTTTCCCAGCTGCTTCGCCCCAGAAAAAGGAAGCCATAAGCTGTTCTATCTGCCTCAACACGCTCTTCGGAAGCTCTAAGACTGCCATGGCATACTTTGGGATAGCTGAAAGGACGTGCTTGATGAGTATAGCCCGGCCACCAGGCGATAAAAGTTTAGTCTTCCATCCAGCTAACTTCAGCCTCAGTTTATCAATCAAGTGCTGAAAATGCCTCCTTGCCGGCCGTCCTTTCGAGATCATACATCCCAGGTATCTGATGGGTAATTTACAATGCTTAAAGCCAAGCCAAGTGGTTATGGATCGCAGCCTTGCTGCTGAACATTTAGAAGAGGTAAGGAAAGAGCTCTTGGATTTATTCACTCGTTGGCCTGTCCCCTCCTGATAGATGGTGAGAAAATCGAGCATTTCTTTAATATCCGACCTGAGCCCCCGCATGAACACTAACACATCATCCGCAAAGCTAAGGTGGGTGATGGAGAAACAGCCTCTTGAGAGAGCGAAAGGGGAGATCTTGGTCGAGGCGAGTAGCTCATTTAGCCCTCGGCTAAGGCTATCAGCAACCAGCAGAAATAAATAAGGAGAAAGGGGGTCTCCCTGTTTAACCCCCCGCCCACTTTGGAAGAATCCATAGGTTCGACCATTAACGAGAACCGAGAACCAAGCTCCTTTTAGGTTATTCATGACCAAGGTAATGAACCAATGACTAAATCCAAACTTCTGCAGCAATTTGGAGAGAAAATGCCAAGAAACACTGTCAAAAGCTTTCATGATATCTAATTTGAGGACCAGGTTATGACCTCGTACTTTCTTGTCAAGGGACTCTAGTATTTCCTTCGCCAGAAGAATATTGTCCGAAATTTCCCTCCCCTTAACAAAGGCCGATTGTTCTGGAGATATCAGACCATCCATAAGGGGCTGCAACCGCTCAGTCAAGATCCGCGTGAAAATTTTGTTCAAGAAGGTACAAAGGCTAATAGGTCTAAATTCTGCAAAGGTTTTCGGTCTATCAGTTTTTGGAATGAGCACAATTAAAGTGCTCCCGATGGCCTTAGAAAGTGGAACACCACAGAAGAATTCCTGCACTGCTTGCAATAGGTCCCGAGCAATAATGTCCCAGCAAGACACATAGAAAAACCCCGAGAAGCCATCGACGCCAGCCGCGCTGTGACTATCCAACCCAAAAACTGCTCTCTTAACTTCTTCCATAGATACCGGACGCGTTAGCTCCTCATTCTGTTGTTGTGTCACTATAGACGGAATCGATGCTAACAGCCGGGTCACGGATGCTTCATTGTTAGCCCCGTCTGATCCGGAGAGGAGCTGCTGGAAAAAAACTAGCTGCTCCCTGTCCAATGTCGTCATTTGTCTCAAGCAAATGCCCCTGGTTGTCCTGAATCTGGTGGATGGTTAGCCGCGACCGCTTGTTAAGAAGGGAAGCGTGGAAGAATTTTGTGTTAGCATCCCCCTCCTTTAGCCACCGAACCCGAGCTTTCTGCTTCCAGTAAGTTTCCTCATCCGCAAGACATCGCAGCAGTGCAGCTTGCGCACTGCTCCACTGAGATCTTAGCACATCCGAATCCTCTCCCTCCATTTGGATCTCACATTCCTTGACCTTTGCTTCAGCCTTCTTTAGATTTGCAAATATGTCCCCAAACGTGGTTTTGTTCCACTCCTTAAGCACCTGTTTCAGACGCTTAAGTTTGGAGGAGAAGGCAAACATGCCATAGCCTTGCACCTCCCGCTCCCAGCTAGCTCGGACAACTTCAAGAAAGGTCGGGTGACGCACCCACATCTGTTGAAATTTAAAAGCTGATGGCCGAGGGGTACCCTGATGATTGTTCATGCGCAAGAGCAAGGGCGAATGATCAGAGCCAGTGCGACTTAAATGCTGCACAGAACCACAGGGGTACGCTTGCTGCCAATCAGTGTTTGCCAAAATTCTGTCAAGTCTCTTCCAGACCCGCCTACCCCTCCGGATGCCAGACCATGTGAAGCGGCTCCCAAAGGCAGGCAAGGTATTTAGACCACAGTCCGCAATAGTGTCTGCAAACTCCGAAACTGCTTGTAAATCTTGCTGGGCAGGGCCAAGATATTCATCTAAGGAAACAATAGCATTAAAATCTCCTCCCACTAGCCAAGGCTCACCACCCACTCGACGAGAGATTGAAATTAAGTCTTGCCATAGGGGTCTCCGTTCCACTGTGGTGCATTTTGCGTAGACAAAGGTTCCAAAGACTACACGAGTCCAGGTCTCATGTGTAATGGCTAAATGCAAAAGCTGGTCGGAGCTAACCTGAACATCCACCGCAACCCCTTCTCTCCACAGAATCCAAATCTTATTGGTTGGGTTACATAATCCCAGCTTAAACTTAAATTTTTGAATCAAACTTTGCAATTGTGAAGCATCAATCATTGGTTCGAGAAGAACCAAGAAGGAAATATTGTGAGCATGTACTAAAGAAAACAGCCGTCGACAAGAGGCTCGGCCGGCAACTCCTCGAATGTTCCATATGAGGAAGCTAAACATTTAATGGGTAGAGGGGAAATCCATGATGGCCTTAGAGGCCTGACGAGTGACTATGGTGCGGGGAAGCGAAAGGAACCTCTTTTTCTTTGTATTTTTCCCCTGCGGCAACGCCGAGCCTCCCAGAGAAGGGACTTTAGCATCCATACGCCTTTTGAATTGGTGGAAACTCTCACAGAGTTGAGCTCGGGGCATAGAATCCCGCTGTTGGTCCTCATGTGATATATGTGATTTATGTGTTTATTTGCTTTTATTATGTTTTATATGATTATAATGAATGCATGACGTCACCACACTAGTCTAACGCTAGTTGTGGCCCTTTGTTCCGATTTCTTACTAGTCCAATGCTAGCGAGAATTCATAGACATGGGCTAGTCCAACGCTAGCCCCTTAGGAAACATCCGCGCGTTAGATCATGTTTGTATGGCAAATCATGACATTTCGTGCATATTTTCTACTTTTCAGGGTCCTTACCATTTTGCATGACATTTCCCTTATATGTATATCTCTTATCCCATATTTTTCCTATATATATATCCCTTATCCCCATGTGCAACACATGACATTAGATTTACATTCCATTTAAGAATTAGAACTAGACTAGTACATTTGCATGATTAGATAGGAGAAAAACACCCCAAATATGGGATATGGACGAGTTTGGCTCTCTATCTTTAGCACGCTCGTATTCCCTTTATTAAAGGGAAAATCTAGTCACGAATCTTAGTTCCCCGCACCTGTTATGATGCATTCCTTTAGGTCATGTATATTACTATTTTCTTTTCTTTTCTTCGAGTATCATATTTTTGCATATTCGTGACCTCTTCGAATAATCACTTTTGGGCGTCGCAATTAATGTGATCTACACTAAATAAAATTCGAAGAGACATATTGACCCTTCCGATATACATTAGGTTTAGGTTTGCATTCATATAGTGACATCCAAATGTGATAAATTTTTAGATTAAAATAAGAAAACTTTTAACTAAATCACGCAACTAACTCTGACTAGATTGAAAGGGTGCCTTGGATTTTATCCTTGCCTTCCCTTTCTTCAAATGTGACTCCCGAACACTTTTCTCTTGATTTTTTAGACTTGGAGTCGTTTAAAAAGAGTTTTCTCTACTTTTTTTTAAAAAATTCATTTTAGGTGACTTGGTACACCTTAACTCAATGCCAAGTGGCGATTCCTATTTTTCATTAAAAATCCTTTTTAAACTATCATTTTTTGGTCAAAATCGTCACATTTTTAGTCCCATTTAGACCCATTTTTCTTTATTCATTTTTTTAAAATAAAAAACTCATCATTTTCACTCAAAATAAATCCAAAAATCCATTTTTTGAACACGTTATTTTTCATTCAAAAATGGGGCGCGACAGCTTGGCGACTCCACTGGGGACTTAGAGGGTCCGACCATTTGATTTAGTCAATCTTTTTCTTCTTTTAACCTTTTTATATATCACATTTGGAGGTTTAGGGTTGCATTTTTCCTTTTTAGGGTTTTCTTGCATTTCACATGCGCAATTGTCTCGATATCCGTGTATGTGAATAATGCGTTTATCTCTTTCATTTACTTATGTGTAATCGCGCTTGTATCTTAGGGGAGGAGGGTAGTCACCCTAGAACCTTCAACCGCACTTGATGGTACTATAATTTTTCCCCTCAAAAGGAAGCACTTCATACGTGCATGCATTATTTTTCCTCTATTTTTTCTTTTTCGTGAGCACTTCCCACATTTCCTTGTAGGATTAGGATCGATTTCCTTAGGTAGGCGGATGGTGTGCTCTGCGTCCATAGCGATGCCTAAGGGATCACTCAAGCCACCGACCGAGGGTATTAGAATTGATGACCTTTTACGTCTTGGTTTGAAGGCTTGGAAGCCTGAAACCTTATCGAGTCTAGATACATTAGTAAGCCAAACCTCATGCATCCATATTAGAAATACCCTAAGATAGAGTCAACCTGACCTAACTAGGAACACTAAGTACGAGGGGAGGGATTCCACCCCTTTTTCCTTATTTTTCTTTTTGCTTTTTATATCATTTAATTGCCACAACGTGTTATGTGTTGAGCTAACATTTCCTTCTTTTCTTGTCTTTTGCATTCACAAACGCTAGGAAATAAGAGATCTGGCACGATCTTCTTTTAGAACCTACCTTCCTAGATAGGTTATTGTACGTTTAAGATTCCGATGTATTGCATTTGTAGACTAATAATTGCATATCATTTTAGGCCCACCCTAGCATACAAAGGGTCCTTTTAGGTCATGTTTTCATTTCAAATTGCATATTTAATTTCTTTGATAAATTGGCATCATGCATAAACTTTAGGAGGGAATGCCGCATAGGGGATCCCACGATAGGAATAAACCACCTTATGTCTCGGATACTTAATCCAAGGAGACTTGCACGTTTATATTTTTGTATCATCCAAAAGGGTAGTGCACAAGGTAAGGTAGGATCCGATCATTTTCATAGAGCGATCTTTTGTACATTAGAATATGAGCCTCTAATACTCATTTTTTTGGCCCATTTTATCAAATTGGTAAAATTCTTTGCATAAAGGACCTTAAATTGAATAAATTCATGAATGACTCCACATTATTGATACAATAAATGAATCAAAGCCAAAATCTTGATTGTAGAAGGCTCATAGACTAATGCGTTGGCAACAAAAGTATCAAATTAGGGTTTTTATCGATTAGGTGAGCCAGTCTATGTTTAGCAAATCATTAATTTCATTCAATTCATTTGACCAGTTTATTCATTTTTAGGGTGATCTAGTCAATTTTGAATAAATCATCAATTTCATCCAACCCATTTGACCAATTAGGGTTTCAATGTCAAATTTCAAATTGGGAAACGTAGTCAATTTTGAGAAAACCATCCATTGCATCCAGCCATTTGATCGGCTGGGCCTTCGATCCATGCTTCATTGAGAAAATTTGTCAACAAATTTCAATCTCTCTGATAGAAAGTTCTTCAAGCTCAAATCGGTGTGCTTTTAAAAATTCTTGTATCAATCAAAGCGATCTCCGTTTGGACTTTACCCGTATTCTATCAGGCTAGAAATTTCCCGTCGAAATTTTCAAATTACCTTCCAATCGAATGGCAATAAGTTGATCGGATCCATCAGGTACTATATAGTGCCTGCCCTGAAGGATTGTATTTTCATGCTAGGCCAACCCTTGGCGTAAAAAGGGTCCCCCAATAGGGCATGCATCTGAATTACCTTAATAAATACTAACTTGTGTCTTTTTCTTTTTCTTTCTTTTCTTGCTTTGCCAATAGCCGGCCAAGAGATGATGCTAAATAGGGTTTTCTAAAATGTCAGGTGTTTTTCAAATATAGCTACAAGAAGAAGCCCCATTGTCACACGATCTCACAGTCGAGCTTTGAGAAATCGTGTAAACATGAGTACGTACCCGGAATCGTCCGACAGGCATGTAACGGCACCATCAACTGATTTGGCAAACCTAAGAGCTCAACTGAGTGAAGTTTTGAATAAATTCAATGAGCTGAATATGGAAATGACCGCACAACGGCGCGTGATCGATCAGTTGGTCGCTGGTAGCAGTAGCGGTGGTCAACCTGAGCCTTTACCTGCTAGTCAATCTGAACTGCAACCAATACTTTTACCCTATACTCAAACCTCCTTTACTCCACATTTTGCAAATCCGCCCGAAGAAACTTTCACCTATCCCACTCATGGCCTACCACATACCTATGCACCTGCTACCCAAACCAATCCTCCTAACCCCCAAATTTTTCAGAATTATCCACCTGTTAGTCTGAACATGCCACTTAAACCTCAAGGGCCATATTACTATTCCACCACTGAACCATTCACGCTAGACACCGCTGCCCAAGGAAAAGTCGACGTAGGGGAATCTTCTGCGCCAATTGATAAAAATTTGTTAAAGAGGTTGGATCAGTTTGATGACTTCAAGAGGAAGAGTCAAGGCTTGAGCAAACAAGGAGGTTTGGACTATAATGAGCTGTGCCTGTTTCCTAATATGCAACTGCCTGTGGGCTTTAAAGCACCCAAATTTAGCAAATATGACGGAACGGGCAACCCTAAGACGCATCTCCGAATGTTTGCCAACAAATTAGAAAAACCAATAGATGATGAGAATTTGCCAGTTCGGTTATTCCCTAAAAGCTTAGAAGGCGATGCACTGGATTGGTACTCTAATTGGAAGCCTGATGAGATGAGGACCTGGATGGACCTATCAACTACGTTCGTGAGACAATACGAGTATAATTGCGAGCTTGCTCCGACGAGGACCACACTTGAAGGGACTAAAAGGAAGCCATCTGAGAATCACAAGACTTATGAAAAGCGATGGAGGAAATTGGCTGCCAAGGTGGAAGCTCTTATGACCGAGGATGAAATTGTTCGAACATTTATCAAAACTCATGACCCGCCCTATTTTGAGGAAATTTTTCGCATGACTGGATGCTCATTCGCAGAAATTGTCAACAAATTGGAGAAATATGATGAGTTTGTAAGAGCGGGAAAGATTATTAATGTGTTAGCTCTGAAATCGCAATTAGAAACCTTGCAAAATCCAAGCAACAGTAGCATGAAGCCTCAGTTTAAAAAGAAATATGGGGAAGCCGCATCGGTCTGGGACCAAGGCCCGTCTTCTATACCCAGATTTCAGCAATACCCCACATATTCATCACCCTATCCATACTACCCAAACCTACGCCCTATTTACCATACTACTATCACTCACCCTCTACCTTGGCTAAACTATGCAAACCCACCTATACAACCCGTCCCAATTTTCCATGTGACGCCCCCGCTTCTCCCAAGGGCGAACCCGAGGGTATCCGCGGAACGCCTGCCCAACTCTCGTCAGGACTCGAGACAATTCCAATTC